TTATGATATAATCAGATTCAGCACATTCATTTAGTATAAAATTGTAGCTTGAGAGATATAGTGACAGACCAACTATATTCTATATTTATTAATATAAGAAATGAACAGGTTTAGTTGAAAACTAGTAAAAAAAGAGAGTATTAAAAAGCTTATTTTTCTGGACTAAAAGCATATGTGAAATCATAAGCAAGGGAAGGGAAAATGATATTATCAATGTAAGCCACCAAATCTATAAACTTGATCTCTTGACATCAATTTCTACTTATGATATAGCAGTGGGACCTTAAACATATAAAAAAAAGGTGACACATATACGAGCATAATAGCACAGAATTTAGTTTTGTCACAACTTTTGTGTGCTTGATTTCTACGAAACAAATTATCTGTTTTTTGCCATTTAAATCTCTATAAGATATCACCTGAACAGAAAACTTCTCACATACCCCCATCAGGTAACAGTTCTTCCCCAGCCTGGTGACCTTTGCTGCGAATATGATTGATATCTATGATATCAGGAACATCAATATACACATCTGAAAGAAGAAAAATGCTTATAAATATACATAGATCAGAAATTTTTTCAAATAACATTACTTTGTAGCAAAAATAGGCATAAAGAGACAAATCATACCAAGCTTTTTGGGTACCCATCCTGTCTCCATAACAAATTTCCGCATATGTAACACCAGGTAATCAGGAAATGAGGTCAGACCTGCAGTCCTATAAAATAAATGATGTTTTAGCATCAAGATGATTTTCAAATGATCTGTGTTATGGACTAGTTAAATGGTCCCCACTTCTACCCACACTACATGAAGCACCCCACTCCCCCACTCTTTTAACCTCCCTTTCACTACATATAACCACCCATATGCCTTGCATGACACCATTAAGTTATTGGTAAAAATCACCCATTATGTGCACAACTTCTCCAACTGCTAGGGCACTTCATCTATATATACCTCCCTATAGCAAGGGATCAAGGGAGGTTATTCAGTCATCTCTACCATATGCTCTATAGATACAATTACTAGCTATCATGCTAGACCTGGATGTTCACTTTCGAACATTTGGCAACCATGAATTTCTAATCCCACTTCTCACATTGGCGAGCACAAAGGAGACAATCAGACCCGGAACCATGGAGCCTCTTTGCCACATCGCTCGTCAGACATCCCAAAAGCAACTGTTTCAACAACGTATAAAAGTGATGGGCGTACCCATCGTAATCAGAGTGCCCAGGATCATCAGAGCAATGAGCATGGGGTCTGTTATTGACCATTGCATTTACGATGGCAGACTTGCAATTCAAAATTTCCTTCGTAGACTCAATATTCATTCAATTATTTATTTATTTATTTATTTATTTATTTTGTCTCTCATGGGCCTTGAATTATAAGCATGTGAAGCATGTAAATTCAGATGTTTTAATAAGAGAATCAATGGTCCTCTGCATAGATCATTTATAATACGCAGCTTTACTTTTACATTCATTAAGCGAATCTTCTGGCATCGAAATGGACTCTATCAACAGAGAAGTGCTTCACCTTATGAATAATATACATCTTTAATTTCCTCATATTCTTTGAATAGAACTTAACAGAAAAGTTCTTTGCTCGTTTTAAGTTGCAGCTTTAGAGGAGTATGGATGCCCCAAAGTCTGGGTTGTCACTTCTGATCACTGTCACCAGCATGCAGCACATGGAGCAGGAGCCTTCGTTTGGAGTTGCAAGGCATTGGTTACTGATGTAAAACATTAATTTAGGTAGTATATTAATCATCAAATGAAGACATTCAATAATGAATCAAGGCCTCACAAAAGGGAGTTGAAACTTGAAAGGATGCTTCAAGAACAAAGGTGTGCCCTGTCTGCAATAATTTAAAACTAATTATTTTTCTATCTGAAATACGGTTTTGTTATATGTCCTTTATGATTTTTCACTGTATGATTTATGATTTTTTATATGGATTACCTATTCAACGTTAGATGTAATATTCTCTAAGGCACTTTTTTTTTTTTTTTTTTTTTTGTAAACCTCTAAGGCACTTCTAATTTCTAAACCAGTATAGTTTATTGTGATCTTTGTTACAGTCACAATCTCCTTAATGAACATCTAGTGTTATGGGTTTATATATATGCTTGTACATGCTTGATGAGCTTCCTGCATAAAAGTTAAACTGCAAATAGGAGGAAAATAAAAGATTACTTGATGGGAAGATAATTCCACTCGAGTGGGAAGATAGCTCTATTTATGGCATTGCATGGGCCAAATTAATAGCTGTCATAGTTTGGTACAAAAACTATAATTTGATGCTGATGTCTTTAGTATTGGCCAAGGTGTTTATGTGGTTTGGCAGAAGCAACAAGTTATTGATAACTAATCAGCCTTTAGACTAGTGAGGTTGCTAAGGCATTCTCAGTTATATTTATGGGGAAAGGATTCCCATGAACAAATTTGTATTGATTTTCTCATTTTCTGGTGAGATTATGTGAGAAATGGTCTTATGTAAGATTTAGGGAAAGCACTAAAATGAAAGGCTTCTGGCCTTTGTGGAAAGGTATTTATCCTTCCTATCAAAAATGTTTTACTTAAGTGTATTGGCATTTGGCAATTCAATAAGCTATCATAAACTTGTTTGATAATTTAGAATCCAACTTAACAGTCAATTCAGTAGATCTTCGAGATGCCCTCTCATGCAATTCAGTAGATCTTCGGGATGCCCTTTTATGCTTTTTGCATTATAATTTCCCTTGCCTCTGTTGACTCATTAAACTTGTTTCCTAATTTGGTGGTAAGTTTTATACTGTGAAGTATTTATTATGCTTGCATATTTTATTTTAATTCTTGATTATGCATGGCATGGATGCTGTGCTGTATCTTTAACAATGAGTCTAGGACCATGACTGCTTTATCAAGTATATATTCCTTCAGGAGAATAATTTGGATCTTACAGATGTAAAGGTCAAAGATGATTTTGCTGCATTACAAGATAACATATGCCAATCTAATGCAAACTTTCATTCACCATTTACATGACAGGAGAAAATTAAACATTTAGATTAACGTAAACCCACTCTCACACATGATTATTATTATCTCATACTAGTTTGCTTGGGATAGATATTTATAGATAGCTGCTACTTTAGTCATGAAATTATGCTTAGAAGATTAGGCAAGAAGGTCATGGTCATGTTATGAGAAAGATAGACACAAAAGCAATTAGAGTAGAATCCACCATTATTTATGTAGGGTTCATTTCTTTTAATTTTGTGTCTTTCTCTCTCTCATAGCATGCCCCACTCACGTTAGTAAATAATGAGAGGATTCTGATCTGAAAAAAGAGATTACCCGCTTTTATCCTTGTCAAAATATTCAAAAGCTTTATATAGGTGATCCTCTTTTTCCATTCTATTGATGTGCATGGTTGCTGTAATAAACTCAATATAATCAATGGTTCCATTTCCGTCTATATCAGCCTGAGAACCAGATAATCGTGTTACTAACTTATAATAGTGTAGAAAAACCAACATTGAAATCAAGAGAAGTGTTAAACTTGTAATCACAATGATCATCTAAATGTACCACCAAGCTAAGGTGTAATCAAACAAAACAAAAGAAATCTTACCGCTTCCATCAACTGCCTTACTTCAGACTCAGAGATCTTAGTACCCAGTTCGGGGAGGCCAGCTTTCAACTCTTCAAGAGTGATCGTTCCACTATTATCTGTGTCCATGGATTTGAACATTTCCTTCAAGCCAATGATTTCTTCTTCAGAAAGATTTTTAGCAATAACCTGTAACAAATAAAAGAATTTTTATATATAATCCTTTGATCTAGTCCATTTATGAATTCCTTCTCCCTATTTATTTACTTATTTATTCATTTATTTGGATTTTCCGAATTGTAAATATTCCTTTTATAATTCCTTTATTTGTCGTTGAAATTGATAATTCACTGTACAGTGGCAGTGTTCAGTTATTTTTATTTGGAATAAATGCCCATGGTTGTGATATCTCTGGCATGTTAGGCAGTATCGCATCTAAACTCAACATTCAGGGGGCGTTTGGTTGAAGGATTCTAACGAGATGCATAGACATTTGAGAAGTGGGATTAGTCGGTGCCCGTGTTTGGTTGAAGCATTTTGAAGATATGCCCACCCAAATCATTTCCCCACCTTAACAAGTTGCATGTGTATCTGATCCAAAAATCTGGCGAAATTTTCCCATTTGCGATGTGGTATTGCATGTTATCTATGTAAATCATCACAATGGGCAAGTTCAGATGACGAGCGTACCCTCCTGTTAGCGCGCGAAAGTGAAAAATATCATACCTAATCTATTTGTTGTAGAGTTGTTAGAGTTGTGACTTCCCAAAGAAAAAAATCCGACAGACGACGACGAAGAGTAACATGAGTAGTTTCCAAAGACCAGTGTTGCAAAGTGTTACTGTTTCCAGTCTGAAACCCAAAAGAAATGGTCTCTGACCATGAAGGTTGGTTACTGTGGGAGGTAAGGTAACGGGTGTCTGCAAATTTTTTCGTCTGGGTTGATGGTTGTTTCCTGTGAAAGAGTGCGTTTTTCCTTTGCAACATGGTGTTAGATATTAATTTCTTAAATTGCATGTAGGTGAAAAAAGATTCTCATTTCTTGACGTTGACAACTCACCTTCAGATCTGGGGTATCAATTTTTCATAGCGTTGTTATTTGTTCGCGTTTGTTGGTTGGAGCAGAGACTGGTTTCGACAAGTAACGGTGACGGACAGAGGCTATATTTCCCTTTTTTGTGATTAAAATACCTTTTGTTTTGATCACTATATGCTCTGAGAAAGGTTCGTTACTTCCAAATTCAGAGCCATCGCCACTTTCTTTATTCTCTACTCACTATTGAATTCCACTTCCATTTTCCCTTCTAATTGTCTTCTTGCATGCTACCCTTGTCATTATCATTTTAAGAATTGATATCATTGCATTGCATTATACTTGTAAATTATCAGTGTCAATGAAGGTAATTGCCTATCCGATTTGTTTTCAACTATGTTTCTTCTTTACTTCTTAGATTTTTGCTATTTGGTGGGATTTGGCATTAGTCATATATTGCTAAGAATAGGTGAAACAATGCGCAAATATCTCTCGAATATGCTGCCAATGTAACATCCCGAGCGCTGACGAAGGCGGGGAGTGATCGCCGGTGCGAAAGGGCATGGACAAGGAGCGGCTCCTGTCAGGCTTCTAGGGACGGGGGTACATGAATGAATCGAATCAACACCCGAAAGAGAGGGATTCCAGAGACTGTGCTGGTATGAGACGGTACAGTTGGGAATGACTTATAAGAATTAATTGGTACTACCTATACTAACAAGATGCATCTACTTTTCGGTAGCCGGGAACGGAAGAACTCCATAGTTAAGCGTGCTTGACTTGGGGCAATTCTGGGATGGGTGACCCCATGGGAAGTTTTCCCGGGAAGTGTGCGAGTGAGGACAAAGCACGCTGAAAAGTCTCGTGTTAGTGTGTGGGGACAGTCGTTAATCCTTGCAAGTTGCCAGGCGTTACAGCCAAGGTACTTGGATATGCATATGGATGTTGGATTTTCTCTTGATATTGTCCTTAATTTGCGTATGTTATTCTTTAAACTTGATAAGATTTTGCTTTGGAGGCTGGCTCTATTTTTACATTTCTTCTTACATTTCTTACATCTCTGTTGTTCTTCTCTTAGCGTATATGCCTAGTTATATTTGTTTGGCTTCATTATTCTGCCTAATGTGAATATATATTCCCCTATATTGTCAAATTATGACCCTTTGATTTCTTTAATGCACAAATTCTGGTGCATGGAATTAAGAGACTTTCCAACTGTTTACTTTGGTCCTTCCTTATGTTGTTTTAGCTATATTGAAGCTTCCTCTAAAAATCTAAATGCTTTATATGTAGGTTTTGTATGTTAGGGATCACATTTATGGAGATATACTATGCAGCAAAAAGGTTCTTGGTATATCATATTAATCCTTACAACTATTCTATCAAATAGATTTGCATTCTAATTCTGTCTTCCAAATTCAGAGCCTATGATATAATTTTTGCTATTTTATCATATTAATCAGTGCAAGTACTTACATTTTTTTTTTCACTGTATGCAGTAGCCTACACTTGAATAAATAGTTCACTTTTTTCATGCTCTGTTTAAAATATACTTCTTAATGTAGCATGAATATGATGAATGAAGATTATAGTGGTTAGGCTCTTGAAAGTGAGTATTTCTTGCTATTGGTTGATGGCAGCAGTAGCACCTATAGGTCTGGAGCAACTTTGACTTGATTTGGGTTTTGGATTATAAATATAAAATAAAATAAAAAATTGAAGTATGTTGCCTAAGCTTGCTGTTATTCTCTTCTCTAACGTATTAGAGGGTTTTGGATTATAAATTTGTGATATAAGAGTCGGTATCCTTTGCAAAGCATGAATGCCTTCACAACTTCACTTGCCACATAAATCACTGTGAGTGGTGCATATAGCAGTGATCTGTTATAAATTAAGATGAAATAAGAATCTTAACCTCTCACACTCATTTGATGCTAACAATTTGATTGGATTGGCATTCCAATAAGTGACCGTAAGAGGCTTAGGCTTGAATTTCTTTCAGTCTAAGGTATAACAAGTTTCATGATTGTAGTTGTGATTGGTATGTTTCTATTTTTAAATTGTATTTGATTCCCCCCCTCCCCCTTATTATGCAGATCAAGAGGGAGATTTCCATTATGAAGCTAGTCAGGCATCCTTATGTTGTTCGCCTGCATGAGGCATGTGATAATTTTTTAAATTTGTACCCCATGCTTTCACTCTTCAGTTTCACAATGTCATTAAGGGCCCATTTGGCTTCTTTTCTCTAAAAAATAAGCTGTCCTCCAAATCATGATTATCAGTGAAAGTATGAAATATGGTTTCAAGTAAGTTTTTAGAAGTATTTTCAGTCAAGTACAAGCAAAACCAGAATTAAGGAATTTTTCATTACAAAAAAAAAAGAAAAAGAATTAGGGAATTTCTTTTTCCTTGATTGTTTGGAGACAGGAACACTATTAGAAACATATTTTGAAATTTATCTTGATTAAATGGAAGTTCCTTTCTTTCTGGTTCACTCTTATTCCTTCAAAAAGTTTTAAAAGAAGAACCACACTGACTCAATATTTTGTCTGATAATCCTTTGTAATGTTTCTCTTGTTAGCTGTCACCACGCACAAGCACTTCATTCTGTGGTAACATTTTAATTTCTTCAGGTTCTTGCTAGCCGTACAAAGATTTATATCATATTGGAGTTCATTACAGGTGGTGAATTGTTTGATAAAATTGGAAGTAGCTCAGGATGGACCTTTTTTTTAACAGCTTTTACCATGTCTTTTATCAATTATCATTCAAGATATTGGAGAAGTTGATGGTGAATAATAAATTGTGCAGATACACCTTGGGCGTCTTAGTGAAGCTGAATCTAGAAGATATTTCCAACAGCTTATTGATGGTGTAGATTACTGCTACAGTAAGGGAGTTTATCACAGAGATTTAAAGGTATGCATTGTCTTGGATCTGGAAAGTTATAACCTGTTTATTTTAATTATCCCTAAATAGGGAATAATTAAAATTTTCATGATTTCCTAAATTATATTTAAAAATAGGGAATACTTAATCTCACGTGTTCTTTTGCAAGTGCAAATTCATTCTGTTTGCTTTTTCTAGTCCATTAGCTTATTTTATAATATTCAAGTGTAAATTAATTTGGATCAACTTAACTATTAAACCATAACTGATGCATATTAATCTGGATGGGCATTTTTTTGGCTAGCTATTGCATTTTTTGTCCGTGTTAATTACATTCTAACTTGGATGGGCATATTCTTACTCGTTTGGTTTAGGGTTCAAAAAGAGTCATGGCTACTGATATGGATGTATTGACTCTGTAGATATTATTTTTTGTATGAGCCATTACATGATACAGGCTGCAAATTTAACTATGCCAATGAGGTCAACTGAATCTACTTACAAAGTTGTAGCAGGTTGATATGGGAGTAGAAGCCTTTGCTGGGTTCGGTTTTATCTTTTCAATGTTGAAATCCCTATGTAAGTTATGAGTACTACCATTGGGTCTATAGGACTGCATTTGCATCCTCGTCTAATTATTTAAATCTGTTTTTGGTTGATACGAAGATAATGAATATCTTGACTGTAATCTGTCTTGTTTTGAAGATATATGAATTCAACATAGATTTTGTACACTTACTCGAATGACCTTAACTTGTTTTTTTATATCTGTGTTTGACAGTGTTTTGGTGATGCTACATTGGCTCCATAGTCAAACAATGTGGAGGAAATTGGAGTGCTTCCTGTCATGGGTAATGAGAATTGCATCAGATAGGCTTGGTTGACTTGGTTAGATCGAAAGTTTGATGTGCAATGGTATTCGAACAGGCATTGAAGTAGACTCATCTTCTTATAATTGAATGATGAGAAGGGGACAGTGATCAATGTGATGGTCTTTTTGACTGTAATCTCCCATGATGTCATGATTATGATGGACAAGAAAGTGTATTCAGATTTGTTAAGTATTATGATTTGAGTCTCAATGTGTAATGTTAATGGATCTTTTACCTTGCACTTTTGCTGCATTCACCGTGTTGTCTGTTAGCATGTAACTAAATCAAGTGCAATCTATTGTATGTATGACTTCTTCGCATCCATAGCTTTATGTCTTGGATGTGTAGTACGAATTAAAGTTGCAGTGAATGAATTACCAGTGATTTGTGGCTTGCTTCGTAAGTTATGGCTACACTTAATTAATTTCTTTACTGCACATTTTGGTGAGGTCAATGAAATACACAGTTGTCACCGCATGCAATTTAGGGTGATACATTTGAATCACATATATCAGCTTTGTTTACTGCAATATTGCCACTTTTCACGTGGTTTGTGCTTGCTGTATTGCAGGACAAAACCCAAACAATAAAAGATAAATGGGACAAGAAAGAATATCAGCTTTCTTTACTGCAATATTGGCACTTTTCATTTGTGTTGTACTTGTTGTATTACAGGACAAAGCTCAAACAATAAAAGATAAAAATATTTGGACAAGAAAGCAATGGAAAGCAAATGTTACTTCTCCTCTGATGTTACAAATAATGAAGAACATGTACATGGACAATAATAACTACACATTAATTGTATTCTTCTAGCCCAATATGAAGAGCTTGCCAAATATTAGACCAGCCTTAACAGTAACAGCAAGTTTCATGCCACCAGCACAATGTCCAGGAACTGCATATATGAAGTAATGAGTGGCAGCAGTTTTGAGGGCAATGGAGGTGGCTCTACTACTGTCTGTATTAATTGAACTCCTTGTAGTGCAGGATTTGTAATCACTCTCTTTAACGTATTCCACTGTGTGCCCAGCTCCATAGTTGAACACTTTCACATAAAAAAAGGTAAATGAGTTTGGAGACTAATAGCATAACATTATGTTTGAAAAAAAGAAAAAAAAAAAAAAGTTAACTAGTTCTTACCAATACTATCTTTTCTTTTTGTTTATGGAGTTTTTTACTATAAGAAAAAAAAAGAAAAACCCAAATTTGGAAAAGCAGCACCTTGCGCAATATAAGTTGTATCTTAAATTACTCTATCTTTTCTTTTTGTTTATGGAGTTTTTTACTATAACAATTGATTGTCATCTTCCTTGCAAGTTTCATTATTTTTTTCATGGGGCAACAATCTGCCAACATCAAAATTCATTGATGAAGCAATCATAATCCGGCTAGAAGCATCAAGAAAAATAAAAAGTGCTTTGACGCCAGAGATGGACTCTTGGGCACCCGTTCGATTCCTACTCTGAAGCGGACAAATAAAAAGTCCCTTGATGTCAAAGATGGACTTTTGGGCACCCGTTCAATTCTTATTCGGAAGCGGGCAAATAAAAAGTCCCTTGACGCCAGAGTCACTCTTGGGCACCCGTTCAATTCCAACTCGGAAGCGGACAAATAGAAAGTCCCTTGACGCCAAAGATGGACTCTTGGACACCCGTTCAATTCCTATTCGGAAGCAGGCAAATAGAAAGTCCTTTGACGCCAGAAATGGACTCTTGGACACCTATTCAATTTCTACACGAAAGCGAATAAATATAATATTCGTAACGTATTTAAATAGAAAATTGCATGTGATTAAGTAATTAATCATGCATTATCCGGTTGAATTAAGTAAAAGGCTTAAATAAATAAAATAAGGTCACTTTTGAGTTAAAAGTGCAGTTAGTGAGATTTTTTGGGTATAAATGTGTGTAGGCAAAATTATCCAAAAGGTAGAAGTAAAGTTAAAAATATTACTAGAAAAATATTCCAGACCATTAGGTAAAGTTTGGTAGTGAATGAAGGTGAGTAGATAGATAAGCTTATACCCAGTTAAAATAACTCAACTATGTTAAATGCTAAAAACACAAACAACTCACTCATTTGCTTCTTCTTCTTCATGGAGCAAGAGAGAGGATCGAGAGAGAAAAGGAAACCATTGGAGAAGAGCTCCATTTCACAACTCCCTCATTTCTCAACCAAATCCCTTGGTTCTTGGACCAAAATTGCATAGAATCTCAAGCCAAACACAACCCATAACTTAGATTCTCTTGAAATCAAGTGTGCAGTGAGAAAAAGTGAGAGGAAAGTGGTGCCCTAACTTGGAGAAGGATGCTTGGTACAATAACCATAATCTAATTAAATGCTTAATTGCATTGTGGTATTTAATTAATCAGATTAATTAAATGAGAGGCTTAATACCAAGGTTAGATTAAATATTAATTCTTCACATTGTAGATAAAATAAGTAAGAAGGCTTAATTCAATCAATGTATAACTGAGTGTTTTGGGATAAAAATGGGTGTAGGCAAAATTACTCGGAATGTAAAAGAAAAGTTAGAAATATGATGGTAAAAGTATTTTAGACCAATAGGTAAAGTTTGAAAGAGAATTGAAGTAACTAGATATACAAGTTTATACCCAGTGAGGTGATAAAACTTATTTAAACTTCTTTCCTTCCTTATTTTTCTCTCATTTCCTGGACTCTCTCTCTCCTATGTCTTCTTCTCTTCGATAAAGAACAAGAAGCCATTGTTGAAAAGCTTGATTTTCAACTTCTCCATTTCTCAACCAAATCACTTGGTTCTTGAATCAAAGTTGCTTAGAATCTCCCTACAAACATAACCCTTATTTCAAATATCCTTGAAAGTGTGTGTGTGTGTGTGTGTGTGTGTGTGTGTGTGTGTGTGTGTGTAGAGAGAAAAATGGAAGGGAAAATGGTGACCCATTGTTGATTGGGTGTTTTGGAGAAGTTCATTGCTTGAAGTGAGGCTTGGAATCTCTTCCTTGGGTGATTCTAGGTGAGTTGGTGTTAAGAAATCCTAGTTTCCTTTGAGTTTTGTGGAAGATTTATTTTTAGGATTTTCTATGAAAATGGGTCTTTGAATGAGGTAGTTGGAGCTTGATTGAGGCTTAGGCCATGTTGGGAAAAGTGTTTAAACGATGATATTAATCGTGAGAATGTATTTTGAAGGGCATTTTACCCATCTTCATCAAATTTCAAAAATTAGGCTTAGATAGTGTGAATTTGTACATTTCAAGTAGTGTGAGTTGGATTGTGGTATTGATTGTGTTCAAGGTACTTCTAGATTGGACGCAAGTGGACCTATCTTGATTGATCAAACATTGGAGGAGCTAATGGAGCTTGATCTTGGCACTTGAGGTATTTCAAGTGAAGGTGAGTTCATGACCATATAAGTGGTGTGTGGGTTCCCTTATATTGTTGATTGTGAATATATGTTGATGTTTACATGATTGCAATTGTATCTTGTCAAGTAGGTGATTAATTGACAAGCTATTAATTATTGCTTAGAGAGTAAGCTAGCGGTTGTGGAACTTTGGTGCTTGGAGCAATGATTGGGTAGGAAGCGTTACAAGGTTAGCTTTCGGACCTTGGGATTTATCCCTCTGTTGTTCCACCAAGTCCCGAGTGGATTGCGATTTTGTGGTATATCTAAATTGCATGAATTGTGAGGTATAACATTTTGTGTATATTGTTTTGTGTGCCACACAAGACAGTTGTTTCCTTGTGTGAGGCATAAGATGGTTGTTTCCTCATGCATGGTATATTGCAAGACAGTTGCTTCCTTGCGTAATGCATACGATATAGATCTCTGGCCAGTAGATTCATTGTTGCACACATTGCATTGTTATATATTTATATGCTTTACTGTCATAATGTCATGCTTTTATGCCAAGTGAACTTTAGGGTGGAGAAATCCTCCATGGACCTTTAGTTTACTGAGATATATATGTATATCTCACCCCGTGTTGTGCGGACCCCCGTTCAGGTACAGATGTTACAGGAGCCTCTGGTGGCAAGTGGCCATACTTGGACTAGATTGATACATGAGGATGTTGCATTATTTTGGTTATGCAAGTCATTTAGTAGTTCCCAAGTATAGAATTTACATTTGAAAGCCATTTTATGTATGTACATTAGGCTTTATTTTGGTGGACTTAGCCTATGCTCACCTATTTTGGTGTCTCTTGTTGTTGATGGGAGCCAAGCATTTGATCATAGTGTTTTGTTGCTAAGTCCCATAATTTGTATTAAAGACATTTGAATATTGTGTAATATTGTACTGATGGTATATATGATGGAAGGGCATGGATGCTTATTTTGATAAATGTGCACCTTAAAATTGTAAGGATGATGTCTTGTAGTAGTTATACAATGCCAATTAGGTGAGAGAAGACATTTTGATTGGGAATCAAGGTAAATATAAGGATATCATGTCTTGTTGTCCATTTTTTATGTCCTATATGATAGATTTGGATTTTTAGTCTTAATGAAAGTTATAGATCTTTTTCTTAGCTTTCCAACGAGACCAATATTGAATTAATCGGATAAGCATATCTCAAGTTATGGGTAAAATACTAAAGTTAAGTGTAATCCTAGACCCGTGGCGCTATTAGCGCCACCAAACAGTGGGTTGGCGCTGACGGCGCCGTAAGACATAAAAAAGTCAGTGTTGTGGCGCTATTAGCACGGAACCTACGAAATTCAACACCTTTTTCTTTGAAAATTCATAAATTGAGCTACAGTGTTCCAAATTGAGCACGATTTGAACCCACGCGTAGCTAACAAAGAGATCTATAACATAATGGGAGATGAGAACCATAGGAGAAGTACATAATTCCTTGAGTAAATAAAAAGTGAAGGTATTTAGTGTTGAATATCAATGAAAATGAGTTCTAAGACTTGTTGCTCTAAGGGGACCACTTGGCATTTTAAGGGA